AAAATATATATATTGGAAAAAAAAAATAGCAGAGCATGGTGGCACGTGCCTATAGTCCCAACTACTCAGGAGGCTGAGGTGGGAGGATCGCTTGAGCCCAGGAGGTCGAGGCTGCAGTGAGCTGTGATTGTGCCCCTGCACTCCAGCCTGGGCAACTCAGTGAGACCCTGTCTCAACTACAACAACAACAAAAAAGGACTCTCAGGCTGGAATGGTGTCCTTATTTCATGGGAAAGGATACAGAAGGTCCAGAGAGGCGTCCCAGCATCTGCAGGAACGTATCTCTGAGACCCGGCCTGGCCGTGGCCACTGAAGTGTACACTCTGTGTGCAGGGTCTGGTGTTGGGGGCAGGGGCACAGCTGGGTGGGAACATTGAGGCTGTAATGCCAGACCCCAGGTGTCCCTGTGCCTCAGACAGCAACCAGCACGGCCATGCCAGCTCCAGGAACCATGATGCGGCGTTGCTCTCAGATGCTGCTGATGTTAGTGATGTGGTTGGGGGCACTCTGGGGAGCGCCCTGCCTCTGCCCTGGTGAGAACCTTCCAGCGTTCCTAGGACCCTCGGACAAACACTCCAATCCGGATGACTCCAGGTTCCAGGAGTTGCAGAAAAGCCACCAGGACCTTCAGAGCCCAAGTAAGAAAAGGAGGACTCAGACCCCGACCTCATCCAAAAGCGCAGGTGAGCTCTCGGAGACCTCCATCCCCAGGACAGCCCCCGTGTCTATTTTCTTTCTTTTTAAAGATGGTCGCCAGGCGCAGTGGCTCAGGCCTGTAATCCCAGCACTTTGGGAGGCCGAGGCAGGTGGATCACCTGAGGTGAGGAGTTCAAGACCAGCCTGGCCAATATGGCAAAACCCCATCTCTACTCAAAGTACAAAAATTAGCCAGGCATGGTGGCGAATGCCTATAATCCCAGCTACTCAGGAGGCTGAGGCAGGAGAATCGCTCGAACCTGGGCAGAAGAGGTTGCAGTGAACTGAGATGGTGCTGCTACACTCCAGCTTGGGCAACAAGAGTGAGACTCTGTCTCAAAAAAAAAAAAAGTTCTTATCTTGGGGCTGGGCGCAGTGGCTCATTTCTGTAATCCCAGTGCTTTGGGAGGCTGAGGCAGGCATATCACCTGAGGTCAGGAGTTCGAGACCAGCCTGGCCAACATGACAGAGTGAGATCCGGTCTCTATGAGAAATACAAAAATTAGCCAGGCACGGTGGCGCACACCTGTAATCCCAGCTACTAAGGAGGCTGAAGCAGAAGAATTGCTTGAACCCAGGAAGCAAAGGTTGCAATGAGCTGAGATCGTACCACTGCACACCAGCCTGGGCGACAGAGCAAGACTCCATCTAAATAAATAAATTTATTTAAAAAAAAAATCCCCTAGGACAGGGCTGAGTCTGAGACCCTGAGGGCTGGAGGCTTGGCTGGGCTCACATGGCAGTGGGTGCGGGCTGGGGCGGGGAGAGGCCTGGAGACCCTGTGACTCCAGTGGGGGCCTTGCTGTGTGACCCCCAGTGAGTCCTTGAGTCTCTTACCCACCCATGCCTGTCAAATGCAGACACCCACACATACCCACTGTCTGCTGGACCCGGCAGTCCTTCCTCTCCACAGTCAGGAAGCTGGATGCAGGCACAGGGACTGGCACCTGGGGCCAGGAATCCTGAGCATTAGAAGCAGGTCTGGGCGCCCCAGGGAAAGGGGACTCCTGGGGCACCCCCTGCCCCTCTACCATCTGGTGGCTGGACATCACACCAGCACACCCTGCTCTAAACCCCGAGCTCCAGCCAGGTGTGGTAGCTCACATCTGTAATTCCAGCACTTTGAGAGGCCACGGCGGGAGGATCACGAGGTCAGGAGATCAAGACCAGTCTGGCCAACATGGGGAAACCCTGTCTCTACTAAAAAGTACAAAAATTAGCTGGGCGTGGTGGCACACACCTATAATCCCAGCACTCAGGAGGCTGAGGCAGAAGAATCGCTTGAACACGGGAGGCGGAGGTTGCAGTGAGCTGAGATGGTGCCACTGGACTCCAGCCTGGGAGACTCCACCTGAAAAACAAAAACAAAAAAATCCCAGCTCCTCAATTCTGTGCCACCTCCTCTCTGGGCCCACACAAGGGCAGATTCATCCCTGCCCCAGAGGAACCACCAGTCTCAGGTCAGCAGAGCTGGGTACAGACACTTCCCGTGTGGTGGGTTGTAACCGTGATAGGTCTGTTGCTCCATGCACTCGGCAAGTCAGCAGCTGAGAAACTGGGTGGCAACATGGAAAAAGGTTTAATCTAACTGGCATGGTGGCTCACACCTGTAATCCCAGCACTGTAAGTGGCTGAGGCAGGTGGATCACCTGAGGTCAGGAGTTCGAGACCAGCCTGGCCAACAAGATGAAACCCCATCTCTACTAAAAATACAAAAATTAGCCAAGTGTGATGGCGCGTACCTGTAATCGCAGCTACAACGGAGGCTGAGGTAGGAGAATTAATTGAACCCCGGAGGCGGGGGTTGCAGTGAGCTGAGATTGCACCACTGCATGCCAGCCTGGGTGACAGAGCAAGACTCTGTCTCAAAAAAAAAAAGAAAAAAGAAAAAAGAAAAAAAGGCCAGGCACAGTGGCTCACGCCTGTAATCCCAGTACTTTGGGAGGCAGAGGCCAGCGGATAGCTTGAGGTCAGGAGTTTGTGACCAGCCTGGCCAACATGGTAACATCCCATCTCTATTAAAAATCCAAAAAATTAGCCAGACATGGTGGCTCACACCTGTAATCCCACCTGCTTGGGAGTCTGAGGCAGGAGAATCACCTGAACTCGGGAGGCGGAGGTTGCAATGAGTTGAGATCATGCCACTGCACTCCAGCCTGGGCAATAGAGTGAAACTCCATCTCAAAAAAAAAAAAAAAAAAGTCTGAGTGAGGTGTCTCACGCCTGTAATCCCAGCACTTTGGGAGGCTGAGGTGGGCAGATCACCTGAGGTCAAGAGTTAGAACCAGCCTGACCAATATGGCAAAACACTGGCTCTACTAAAAATACAAAAGTTAGCCAGACATGGTGGTGGGCACCTGTAGTCCCAGCTACTCGGGAGGCTGGGGCAGGAGAATTGCTTGAACCCAGGAGGCG